GTTGTTCCTATAACAGCTGGTTGTTCCAAAGCTTAGGAAAGTTGTTCTGCCAAAGAAAAAGGTGTTGTAATGACGGTGAATGTTGGGCGCTGGTCTAGTTTATGCGTCCAATGAACTTTTATACGTCCAATGAAACTTTATGAGTCCAATCAAAAAATAATTGGATTTTTCTTGGTGTTGCAAAGTTGGGGTATGGTTCCAAAACATTTCTTCATGTTCGGGACTTATGCCCACTGGGTCTGGGACCATTCCTTGCCCTATCCCTCGAAATTTCGGAAAGTTCTAGCCAATTTTTATAAATTTCGGAAAAACAATTATAACTTTACGAAATTTCGAGGGATAGGGCAAGGAATGGTCCCAGACCCACTGGGCGTAGGTCCTCAACATGAAGAAATGCTTTGGAACTATACTCCAACTTTAGAACACCATGAAAAATCCAATTTATTGTTGATTGGACGCATAAAAGTTTGATTGGACGCATAAACTAGACCAGCGCCGAATGTTGTAACGGGGAGGTTGCTCAAACATTGTATATTTTTTTCTAGAACGGAAAATGCTGTTCCAACAACGTAAGATGTTGTATAAACGGGAAAATCGGCCTCCGTCATAAAAATGAAAGCCTAATGGTGTTCAAATGATTTTTAGATATTTTTAATCTAATATAATTAACTTTGCCGGATGTCAAATGGCTTTAATAAATCCTACAGAAAATAAATTTACATTAAATAACAGTTTATTCTAAAAATAAAACGCTTGTTAAAATATTAAATGTAAGCTCCCAAATTTTAAAAAATCACAAGTAAAAGGTAAGGTAAAAATGCATGTAAGATTTTAGAAAGAAAATAAAGAGAAGTCGAAGTGTTAATTTAACAAAATTAGAAGGTTTAAATAAAATTACTAGCCCTTCACAATAATTATATTTTGTTAAAAAAAGTGAAAAAATAATTACCAAATGTTACATATGTTTGAATAAATAGGTAATTTAAAACAAAATGTGTAAATTTTTCGAGGAAAACATTTTAAAATTATCAAAAAGATGTTTAAATTAAAATATGTTTTCCGGATCAATGTAAATAGAGCTAAACAAATATATTTAAAATATAGAAGAAAATTAAATAAATAAAAACATCCATTGATAAAGTTCAGAGTTCTCTGAATAAAAACCCCAATCCCAAAAAATGAAAACCCTTCTCCTAATGCCCGTGGTGTTATATATGAAGTTAAAGGAGTAAATTTTCTTGAAGTTTCTTTAATGAGACGGAAGAGAAGTTAATAATTGTTTACTCGATTAATTTTACCCACCCTTCCTCGAACAATTAACTCGGTTAACGAGAGAGTTTGAATAATAAATACCTAGGGTAATTATTCGAGTAAAACTATAGTTATCATTATGGTAAAAATAGTAAAGCAATTGTAAGGAAACCTAAAAATAAATAGGCCGAAAGAACTATCAATATCCGGCATGCTAGATGCTAGTGTTCACCCAGTTTCCGCAACGTTGGTTCACAGGGGATAATGGGAGGCTCTGCCCCAAAGCAAACGTCCCCCTCACCAAGGCTAGAACCATCTTAATGACCACTACTTTGTCCAACAAAACGTAATATGCCATCTTTACCTCTAACAAATACGTCATCATCATCAGAAGATGAAGATTTTCCTTCCACATATTCGGCTGCAGTTTTTCCTTTATCTTGTGGATTTTGAGGTGGTGGTGGGTCACGAATCGGTGGATTTTCAGAAGCGGGATCTTAATAAATTTTATATAAAATATATAAAAGTAAAAAGTGCCTCTAATTGAAAAAGGTCGATTATCTTGTTGCTGATGTTGCTGATCTTCAAGTGATCGCGCAATTGCTATTTCTAAACCATCATCTCCTTTAATTTATAATTTGTTATAAATTAGAGTTTTTTTTAGAAATTTTGAAAATCAAATAAATTTAAATAAAAAGTTAGAACCGCGTGTTTGAGGTCCTTTTGATTTGTCGAAAATCCCACGAGCTATAAGCTTGTCTACTTTATCTTTAGTAAGATTACTAAATAATTCTAATTTTTTCTTAGCATCAGCATTACGATATTCTTGAATTATTCTTTCAATAGATTCATCGTCATCTTCAACTCCTTTAATTTATACTTTATTATAAAAATGTTAACAGAATTATTTGAAATATTTCAAAAAACAAATAAATATTCATTAATTTAAAGGAAACATTAGACCTCCACAGCAACACAATTTTTCAAACATATTCTTTTTTATTTTTGATTCTCTACGAGTTGAACGTTTATGACGTTCCGAATTATTTTCAGTCAAAGTAACATTATCTCCATTTTGTGAAATAATTCCTCGATCACAAAAATTCTTACACATCCGATTAGAAGAACATTTGGTAGTCTCTTGATTTTTAACATTTTTTCCGCCTTTGTTCTTGTTAGATTTCCGACAATAATTTAAATCAAATAAAATGCAAATTAAAAATAGAAAAACAAAACAAGTTGACGTTTTCATTCTTTTAAAGAATTTTCTAATTAATTTAAAAGTAATTTTTGCTTAAACAGATTGTGAATAAAATTTTTTAAGGTTGGAGGAAATAGAAGGATAAAGAACAATTATGAATGGATTTGGAGAATTCTTAGAGGTATCGAGGAAAACAGGATTATCTTAGGCGGTCTAACCTAAGAATAACAGACTAGACCCACATACCTAATATTCAATTTAATATTCCATCAAAAGTAACTCGAAAAAAGGATTAAACTAACATAAGGAGAGCCAGTTACAGAGAGATAAAACCAAAAACAGCGATACTAGAAGGCGAGAATTGAAATACTACCCTTATACATATCAGCTATAAAATAAAATTTAAAAAAATGGCAATAAATTTTAATGTAAATAAATATTTAAAGGAATATACAAAAGTCAACTCTTAAGACTGTCAAGAGCAGCTATGCTGTCAGGCAGCTCAACTCTCAATGCTTATTGAATTTATATTTAATATATTTGCAATGTCTTTACTTACAAGCAAAGATTTTTACTAAGAAATACAATGTAGATTTAACTGTTAGACATTTAAAGCTTAGCGTTAAGAGGGGATTTGACTTATAAGGCATTTGAGTTGTTTCGAAATTTCGATTTAGACTTATTGAAGCCTAGCGTCAAGAAAGCATTTGATTTATATGGCATTTGAGTTGTTTCGAAATTTCGAGTTAGACATTTAAAGATTAACGTCAAGAAGGGATTTGACTTATATGGCATTTGAGTTGTTTCGAAATTTCGAGTTAGACATTTAAAGATTAACGTCAAGAAGGGATTTGACTTATATGGCATTTGAGTTATTCGAAATTTCGATTTAGACATTTAAAGATTAACGTCAAGAAGGGATTTGACTTATATGGCATTTGAGTTGTTTCGAAATTTCGATTTAGACTTATTGAAAAACATTTACACTTAAGGTTGTTTGTATTTATTTACAATTTATTCTTCGAGTATTAATTATACATCAAATCCTTTATCTAATTTAGATTTAGATTCGAGTTTGTTTGCCTCGAGTACACCTCAATGTATCGCCGCCTAACGTACAACAAAACATTGGGCTATAGCTATTTCTCTCCTTCAGCTAGTACAAAAGCTTAATCGGCGGCTGGAAACGAACCAGCATCTTCAGTAGACCGGACTTATATGTTAGCCATTACACCATGCCGTCTACTATTACACCATGCCGTCTAAGTTTGAACGGGGACCCTATCTTTTATGGGAGTACACCCCATTATACCGCCGCCAAATATACCGCCGCCCAGTATACCGCGCCAGTATACCGCCGTCCATTATACCGTGAGCCCAGTATACCGCGGGCCCATTATACCGCCGCCCATTATACCGCTGCCCATTATACCGCCGTCCATTATACCGCGAGCCCTGTATACCGCGGGCCCATTATATCGCCGAAAAATTTTTTTATTATTTTGGCGGGGGATGTTGACAAGTGACGGGGGATGTTATTCCAATGACATGTGTAGTTGACCCGTCAACGGGGGAGTTGTCCCGTCAACGGGGGAAGTTGTTTCTTGAACGGGAGAAGTTGTCCCGTCAACGGGGGAAGTCGTTCAGTCAACGGGGGATGTTGTTCCGTGAACGGGGGAAGTCGTTCAGTCAACGGGGGATGTTGTTCCGTCAACGGGGTAAGTTGTTCCGTGAACGGGGGAAGTCGTTCAGTCAACGGGGGATGTTGTTCCGTCAACGGGGGAAGTTGTCCCGTCAACGGGGGAAGTCGTTCAGTCAACGGGGGATGTTGTTCCGTCAACCGGGATGTTGTTCCGTCAACGGGGGAAGTTGTCCCGTCAATTAGGAAGTTGTTCCACGAACGGGGGAAGTCACGGGGGATGTTGTTCCGTAACGGGGGAAGTCGTTCAGTCAACGGGGGATGTTGTTCCGTCAACCGGGATGTTCCGTCAACGGGGGAAGTTGTCCCGTCAATTGGGAAGTTGTTCCATGAACGGGGGAAGTCGTTCAGTCAACGGGGGGAGTTGTCCCGTCAACGGGGGAAGTCGTTCAGTCAACGGGAGATGTTGTTCCGTCAACTGGGATGTTGTTCCGTCAACGGGGTAAGTTGTCCATCAACGGGGGATGTTGTTCCGTCAACGGGGGAAGTTGTCCCGTCAACGGGGGAAGTCGTTCAGTCAACGGGGGATGTTGTTCCGTCAACGGGGGAAGTTGTTCCGTCAACGGGGGAAGTTGTCCCGTCAACAGGGAAAGTTTGAACAACAGCCCTCATCATTGCGTCAACATCCCCCGTCATTGGAATAACATCCCCCGTCACTTGTCAACATCCCCGCCAAAATTATAAAAAATTTTTGCGGCGGTATAATTGGCGTGCGGTATAATGGGCGGCGGTATAATGGGCCCGCGGTATACTGGGCTCGCGGTATAATGGGAGGCGGTATACTGGGCGGCGTTATATTGGGCGGCGGTACAGTGGCTATAAAATATATTCCTAATATTCTTTTCACAAATGGGAGGAAGAAATATTAATAAAAAAAGAAGAAATTCTGACGATTTTAACGACAGCAGTAATTCGTCAATAATTTTAACTACTGAGCAAGTTACCGATATATCGAAAAAAGTATTAGAACTCCTAAAACCTTCGATCGTTGAAATCATCAAAACTTGTATTTCTGAAATTATTCCTGAAATTCTAAATAAATTGCCTAATTTCAACAATAACACTAATGCAACACAATCAAATTTTACTCCAACAACAAATTCTGACAATCTTCCACCTCTTGACCCTTCCCTTTCCTTCGACATTGTTAATTTTGCTGCTCTTAATCCAGATATTATTAAAGAAAAGTCCAAAGTTGCAGTAATTGAGCGTCTTCCCGACAACGGCCCCGAAAACGACAAAAATTTAATTACTGAAATTGTTACTTCTTTGGGAATGGGTGATAAATTAGACAACGAAAAGCAAATGTTTCGACACTCTTCGCGCTCAGGTCAATCAATAAATAAACCGAGGATACTTAAAATTCCATTTTCTGATGTAAAAAGTCGTGACATGTTTATTCGTTTATTCTCACAAAATAAGAAAAAATTCCCAAATTTACCACATAATGTTTTTGTTAGGCGTGATTTATCTAGACCTGAATTACAATTATTATACACCCTTCGTAAAAATGTTTTTAATACGAACAAATTTATTGGACTGTACAAATATGTTGTTGTTGATTTAAGTATCAAAACTTTGTCTAACCCCAAGCCATTCAAAGTTAGTATGACCTAGGATAAACAGGGCAACTACAGGAATTTAAAGGAAAAAATCAAAAATCAGATTTATAGTTGCCTGTTTATAAACGCTAGATCAATACTTAATAAGGTATTAGAATTAGATTATATCGTTTATAATAATGACTATAAAATCATATTAATAACAGAAACCTGGCTAAAAAACTCTAATGCTGCATTATTAGACTTCCATTTCTCAAAAAATTTCTCAATTATATCTGCTATAAGACCTACGAAAGGCGGCGGCTGTTCTATATTATTATTAGGGAACGGATTTATATGGACTATTAATCGAAAAATATGGACATATAATATGGACTGAAAATCCTAAAATATGGACTGAAATATGGACTAAAATCCAAAATATGGACCAAATATGGGCCGAAAACTTCAAATTTTTAATGGAAAATTTTCATTTTTAATCAGCAAACTGCTAATTAAGTTAATTTTGATGCAAATTATTATAAACAAATCAATTTATAATAGTTAGTATTTTGTTTCTGAAAATACTTTGAATAATATTTGAGTAGTAAATTTCTTGAAAAATTTTTGTCGAAAAATTTTTCATAAAATTTTTCCAAAAAATTTTTATAAAAATTTTTTTTGACCAAAAAAATTTCATTAATTTGAAAATTTTGACTAATTTTTGGCAAAATTTCACAAAAAATGACGAAATATGGACGAAATATGGAAAATATGGACTAAACGTCAAAATATGGAAAAATATGGAAAATATGGATTGATAACTCATTATCGGTCTTATCAACATATGCTAAAACTATGTTTTTTGGACTTTTCAGAATCCATCTAGTCCAGGAAAAAAATATGGAAATCCATATAAATCCGTTCCCTAATTATTATCTAAAGAAATACCTTATATTACCAGATTTAGTGGTACTAAGTTTTCGTGTGAGATAATTATTTTATCTTTACTAACTCCAGTCCCTATTAAATTACTATTGATTTATAGACCGCCTAATTGCTCCAATTCTAATACCAAAAAACTTTTTAAATTTATCAAAGCTAATCAAATCTCTAAGACTATTTTATGCGGGGATTTTAATTTACCTTTACCCAATGAAATAATTTCTCAATTTTTACTAGCTAATGACCTAACTCAACATGTACTAAACTCAACTGGAGAAAATAATAACCCTCTTATTGAAAATAATAACCCTCTTACCCTCTTATTTGGTTAAGGACTTAGTTGTTTCTGATAGGTTTTCAACTTCCGATCATAATTTAATTTCATTTCATTTAAATACTAAATCTATTTCTAACAACAATAATAAATATCTTAGGGATTTTAGTAAAAAAATTTTTCATTACTAAACATATGTTATTCTAAGATTAACTGGAATGACAATTTAGCTTGCTTTTTTGATGTAGAAAATAAATATAATATATTCATCGCCAAGATATCTGATTTATACAATAAATGCATACCTTTAAAATCTATTGGGAAACTCTTAAGTAGAAATTATCCACAAAACATTAAATCGATTTCACTCAAAAAATTATCGATTTTCAAGAAATTACAACAGACACCTAATGATATTAAACTTAAGGTTGAGTATAGAATGTTAACAAAAGAATATAAGGGAAGTATTTTTGTTCATCATCAACAAACACAATCAAATATTTTATCTAGAGGAGGGCAAAAAATATTTAAATTTTTTAAAAATACACTTAAACAAACTAATATCCCTGCATTGTGTGATACAGCTGGTAAAATATATTCGTCCGATTCGGAAAAATGTAATATTTTTGCTGAATATTTTAAAACTCATTTCAAATCATCATCATTCGAAATGCCTCGTTTTAATTCTCGTGATTCTGATTTCAATGACATTGTCTTTGACTTTCTTCAGATTTCAAAACTCTTATCTAAATATCCCTCTAAAGACTCAAATTCACCAGATGGTATTCCTTATGCTTTATTAAAAAACTCTGCTCATACTTTATCACCGATTATCTGTGAACTTTTTCGAATTATCTTGGATAATGGTGATATTCCATCTTTATGGAAAACTTCTATTATTATTCCTATATTTAAGAACGGAGATAAATGTCTTCCATCAAATTACAGGCCAATTTCCTTAACATCGACTCTATGTAGAACATTTGAGAGAATACTGAAGAATAATATACTAGAGTATCTGCATTCAATAAATTTCTTTTCAAAGGATCAATTTGGATTTTTAGGAGGTCGTTCGACCACAACTCAGCTTCTTTCTATGTATCACGAGTTATATAATGCGAGGCTTACAAATAAATGTGTAGATGTAGTTTATATTGATTTATCTAAAGCATTCGATACTGTACCAATCGGTATATTGCTAGATAAGATATTTTCCTTAGGAATAGGTGGTAAAATCTATAAATTTATCTATAATTTTCTTACTGGTCGTAGTTTTCGAATCAAAATAGGTAATGAATTTTCTGATTCTTTTTCTGTTCCATCAGGCGTTCCCCAAGGGAGTGTTTTAGGTCCGTTACTGTTTCTAATATTTATCAATGATCTCCCAAATTATATACCAGAAAATGTTCACATTAAAATGTATGCCGATGATATTAAACTATATGTAATCCACAATAATGACTCAAACAGAGACTATTTAGATCAGGCTCTTAAATCAATTGAAACCTGGACTAAGGAAAACCTTATGGAAATTTCAATAAATAAATGTTCGGTATTGCATATTGGCAACAATAACTCTTCTAGACCATATACATTAAACGATGAAGTAATCCAAGTAGCTAACTGCATTAGAGACTTAGGCGTTATAATCGATAATAATTTTTCCTTCTCATATCATATAGATTACATAATTAAGAAGACATATTCCTTAATACATCTATTTTTTTAATTTATAAAAGTCCGAATATTAAAAATATGGGTTCTAATCTATAAAATATATATTAGGCCAAATTTGGAATATGCATCTCAAGTTTGGAGCCCTCAAAAAAATAAGGATATAATTAAGATAGAGAAGGTTCAAAAAATGTTCACAAGGGTTATTATTAAGAAATGCGGATTAGCACCTCGACCTTATAACGAAAGACTTATTATTTGCCAGCTTAGACAGTTAAGCACTAGAAGGGCAGTTGCTGATTTATGCATGGTCTTTAAAATTATAAAAAATACAACTAATCTTATTCCTTCTGATTTCTTTACATTTTCTAAGCGCTATAGCCGAAAACCTCATTTTATTCTTAATTCAAAATATGATTTTAGAAATAAGCAAGATTTCTTTATTAGAATGATACTTAAATGGAATAATTTGCCTGCTGAAATTACAAAGTTATCCAGCATTAAAAATTTTAGGACAAGTATTGATAACCTAGTTCAGTAACTAACTTTGAATGGCTCCTATTTTATACTATTAATACATATATATTTTTTTAAATGATAATTTGACTTAGCCATTGACCACATTACCTTATTATTTATTTTAATTTTATTTTTTTTATCGTTTTTATTGTATTTCCACATAAGAGTACAATTATTTGTACCTGTGGTTGCTCAGAATAAATAAATAATAGTGTTTCACCGGAACCGAAATTTTGACCGGAACCGGAACCGGAACCGGATCCCATTTAAGTTCCGGTTCCCGGAACCGGAACCGGAACTTTTCTAAGTTCCGGCCCGGAACCGGAACCGGAACCGGAACTTTTAAAAAATTTTTTTTGCTAGCAAATTTTAAAAAATTTTCATTTTGATTTGGGTTGTAGGTTTCGCCAAATTTTTCGGTTTACCGAAACCGAACCGTCTAACCGAATAGAAACTTGGTTAACCAAAACCGAGCCGAAAATTTGTCGTCGTTAAGTGATATATGTGGATAAGAGAGTAGTGTATAAACGGATTTGTCGGATATAACTGTTTGATATCGGGCGATAAAAAGGTTCTGAATTGCAAGAAAATCTCATATCTACCTACTCAATTTCTCGATATCACACCCAAATCCACGATATTACCTATGACCGTTTGAAATCATGATATAATCAAAATCCAAATTAATCCATCCAAATCCTCCGATATAACATTCAACTTCTTTTTAAGCGCCGCAGGCGAAAAATTTTGAGAATCTGTGTGGACAAGAAGCCAAATTTCTTCTCTTTTCAGCGCCGCAGGCGAAATTTTTGAAAATTTATGAAGGTCATAAGCAAAAAAATTCACTATTTATAAGTCAAACAAAAATTTTAAGAAATTTAGAGGGCCAAAAACCACAATTACTCCATGTAAAAATAAAATAATTTTAAAAACAAAATTATAAACCTATAAAATAATTAAGGAAAGAAAAACATGCAAATTAATTGTCCTATGCCTCGGAAGCGAACCCATCTTTAAATCATTCACGCCAAGGGTGAAGTCTAACACCTTAACCACTCGGCCACCCGTTTATATTAGGTCAATTGACAGAAAATAAACATATTTCTTTCGATTTTTTTTAATACACAAGCATGAGAGTACGAGTAGTTTATTAATTTTTCTAAAAAAATCAATCTTTAGGGGTGTAAAAAAGTTCCGGTTTGCCCGGAACCGATTTGAAAACCGGAGCCGGAACCGGAACCGGAACCAATTTGAGTTCCGGTTCCCGGAACCGGAACCGGAACCAAAAAAACACCGGAACTTTCCGGAACCGGAACCGGCTGTGTTGCCAAACAACTCAATTCGCAATAATTAATGACAGTGTAGGTAATTGATTTTCGATGTCTTACATTTTTTAATAAAAAATTTTTGAATACGAAATACAACGTTAAATCGACTGTTAGAGATTTCCTGCTTAAATAACTCAATAATGCGTGCGTTTATAACGAGTTGGCATGTTTCCCGATGCTGATAATTACCGTTGAACTTCAAACCCGTATCGGTCGGGATTAGGGTTTTTATCAATAAACAAGGTTTTTTCAGCCGTCCCATAATAGCATATATATTAGTATACAGATCCGTTTATTTAAAACCTTAGCTCCGGCTCAGGCCAAGATTTTGAGCCG